CCTCCAAACAGACTCATCCATTCTGCCACTAGAATTCAAGACGGTTGGGGAGCTGCTGTGGCTGCCATCCGCCTCCACACCGTCACTCTGGTTGGGCAAGTTAGGGTTTAACAGCGTGCTGCCGTTGGACGTGGTGGTGCACGGAGGAAGCATCCTGGAAGGGGAGCGGTCCCCTCCCGGCACCATGGGGAACTGGTATGATCCTGACGAAGTGCCATAGTAGAGATATGGAGTGCTGCTGGTCTGGAAAGGTCCACTTTGGTTTTGGGAAGAGCCGGGGTAGGGTGGTGGTAGGTAGGTGTGGTAGTGAGTGGTTGCGGACATACCCAGTGACATGCCTGAGGTGACTGGCGGTGTATAGGTAAAGGTGGCTGGATAGTGCATTCGTGGGTTGGAGAAGCGGCTCTCAGTGAGGGATGAAATGCTTGTGAACTGCCTGGGATCTGAAAATGGGCCCAGCTCTGAAGCACCTAAAAAATTATAACAAAAGACGGGGGAAAACAATTCTGTAAATACCATTTTTTGTATCAAGTGATGATAGAATTTTATTTTTCTAAGAAAACCCACTTCTTTTGGCCCCCAAGAGAACAGCAGATCATATCAAATAATACATTGCAAGGAACAGAGTCATACACCTGTCTTCTGCAAGCGCTGGGCCAAACTCATCCCTGGTCTAACTCCACTGATGCCAATGGAGGGAGCAGCATTGCCAACCTGAAGTGTTCAAAGGTCACAAGTCAGGCTGGGAGGAAAAAAAAAAAAAAATCTCAAAAATCGGGAGATTGAAAAAGAACCAAAAAGAAGAAGGTGGATTTGGAGTTGATTTGCCTTCTGGTTTCTGAGTGTTGAGGGTTACGTGTCTCTGTTTTTTTGCTATAGCCTCTTGAGAAATTCAGATCTGGTTGCACATGGAAGCTGAGATTCCCACCTCAGCACACGCCGTCAGGAGCTGGGGTTTCGAGAAAAGCAGAAATTACCGTGCAACTTGTAATAAAACTACAAGAGTTGGCAACACCAAGTTAGTTGCATCACAGACACCAGGGGAGTTACACCGGGGGTGACTAAGCCCCACTTATTCCCTTAAATCGGTCTATTTAGGTGAGAATCTGCTCAGCTACTTCTTATGGCTGAAAAATATTATTTGCTGCATCCGAAGGATAAGCAAGGCCACTGAGCTGATAGCAAAGATGCAAATTTTACTTTTCAGTGCAGTTGATGGAAAATTACAAGCCCAGCACTCTTTTTGCCATTGAAAAAGGTTGTTTTTATATGTAGTCTGTGCAGTCTGGTTAAAAAAAAGACCACACAGTTTATGGCTACTGTGAATGTCTGGATGCTAATGCTGTGAATTGGAGTCTAACGCGAAACAGGGATGGGTAAACTCATTTTGCCTAATTTCTAATCCCACATCAAACACTCAAAGTTTCGGAGCAGAACTGGAAAGCAAACGTTAGTAGCTTGGTGATCTGCTTAGGAGACTGTGGGATGGACAGGAGCGCAAGAAAAAGATGGTGAAAGCTCACACTGAGAGCCAGAAAAGTGGAAAACAAAAATGGTGTGGGAAAAGGGACAGGGGGAAAGAGAAAAAGCCTAATGAAGAAGTACAGTGCAGGAGGAGAAAAATGCATGAACCAGTATGCAGTAGATACATATATACTTATTTGTAGACAGCTTTTTGATGTGAATAAAGGAGAAAAATCATGAAATCAAATGGACTCTCCCTGCGCTTCCCAGCTGACACTTCTACAACTTTACAGTCCTCTAGATCCAAGGGTTCACTCACCTCTTTGCCAACCTACTGAATCCAATTTAAATACAAGGGAAATACGGCACCTTCTAGATGCCAAACTGATGTGCTAAACACTGAAACACTCGGTGTATCCTCAAGATAAGATGAAGCAATGCTTTTCCTTGCAGATAGGCTTTGGATCTGACCCACCAACACTACGGTGTAGAAGGAAGATCCCTGCAGCCCTTCTGCCCTTGGCCCCCTATAGCACCCACAGTGGTGGTTGCCACCATAAGCCACAGACTCAACAGATCCTGCCACCTTGTGTAGCACATTTTGTGATTTAGATCACTATTCTCTCCTGTTCTACCAGCTCATTTAACCCACACCTTCAATGAGATCTAAAAGCAGCAGGGGGGCAAAGTTCAGGTACAGCCTGGATTCAGGCTGGAGGACCTGGGCCATAGCCAGCCAAGTGTCCAAATCACACAGCCCGAAACCTGGGGATTATAATCCACCATCTCAAAAGATACTGAGTACAGAGCTTTAAACGGGCAGTAAAAGCCCATTTTTAACTCTGATGACAATGTGATTACTATTATCTTTATCTGGAACTGAATCAGTGACCTACGGGTGAATGGGTCTGTCTCCATCATCAACCCCTCCAACCACAGCCCCATGGAATGTAATATAACTTGTACCTTTACAGCAAACACTCTACTACTTGATGCAACTTCTTTCGTTCCCAACTGCAAACAATAGCCGGAGGCAATACCACCCAGATTCAAAGCTGTAATTTTGGAACACTATCCTTTATATTGTGAACAGGTCTGATACATATCTGGAAATATAAGGTTAGAACATAATTTCCCCAGCTGCTCAAAATACTGAGTTTCAATCTGCTACTGCTTATGTTACTTTTTTTTTTTTTTTTTAATTGTTATTGCAACTCTCCCAACATGAAGAGAGTTGCTCTTAGTTTACCCTGATAGAAGCCAAATAAGACTTTCATAATCAAAGGTAGAACTCGTAAGAGTGTAGAACAACATCAGCATTTTTGGTTTCTTTGCAACCAATATTTTTTTTTTTTTCTTAATAACAAACTATCCACACAGTTTTACCCATTAAAAGGTAATCTCCCTTTCAGGGCCAGATCCAAATATTATCTGTACAAGTGCTGCCAAGAGATCATGTATGTGTCAAATGACTGGGAATATGCACTCCACACATAGGCATTTCTAATGTGGGGCTACAGACCTCCTTACACACTCTAGTAAATCCACACTTGTTTGTTATTACTGTTGCTTGTAAAGCACAACCCTATTTACCCAAAGGCCAAATAACCATAATCCTTTCTTATCTCACTCATGGCTGTATCTACACAGCTCCTGCATACTCACTTCTCCAACATCACTTTTGCCCAAATGCCTTTTGCTGTCTCCATAACTCCCTGCACTAGGCTGCCATTTGTTCCCAGCCTTCTGTATCACCATTGTGTAAAAATATTTTTGGAGATCAGAAATTTTTTTCTGTGATGCCTGTTCTAAAGTCTCCTTTCTAAGTGATTCCAGAAACTTTCTAAAGTCATCTCTAAAACTCAGGTTCTTGCTGTCCTCACTGCTACGCAATCTCACTGATGCATTTTCACCCTCCTTCTCCTCCTCTCTCTGTGCTACCTCCTTGTGTTAAGGTTGATTTTGGTTCTAACTTGGAAACATCAGATGCATATTCATTTATATAGGTTTAGCTCTTTGCTGAACTGGGAAGATAAATAGCTTTTCTGGATATGGCACTCATCTTTGTATATCTAGTTGCACACAAATAGCGATGTTGATCAGCAATATACTAACATGACAGTGCAAGTAAATATTTTATTTATTCCTCTCCCCAGCAGGATTAAAGATTTATGCTAATTTTTCCTCCGTCAGAGCAAGAAAACAATTTGCATCTGTGAATTCCCACTCTCATGATAGCTTGAATTAAATGGGTGAAGCACAGATCCTCTGCCCTACATCGTGGCCGCAAGATTGCGAAACCACACTTCTGTAAAGAGAAGAGACTTTATTTTGTGTCACCAGAAAGAGAAACATGGCAACAAGCACAGCAAGTGATCCTCTTTTCCTATACAGTCTGATCAGCTCACCGTGCTTGGAATAAAAATGTATATTTAAAAAACCCCCGAACTTTACATCTGAAAGAGTCCAGGTTAAATTGTTTTTAAATCTTCCAAGCTGATTCCTCTCTAACGTAACCTGGCACACAAGTTTTCTGAGAGCTATAGGTTTAGAACAGAAAAGTGGTCATGTTAATATGCCAATATATATGCTAACATGCTAGATTCAAGAATACTGTTTCAGTGTGTTTCATATTTAGAACAAGAACAATTAAAATTCCATGTGGTTTCACTTATTTTGATGCAGAAGCCTCATTAAAAGCCCTAGACTTGGTCATTTGCCAGCAGCCGACTAAAATGGTTTTGCATTCGCGCTTAAAAACCAATTTTACCTGTTGCAGCTTTGCAGCTCTACCTTTTACAGCTGAATGCCTACCATGGTCATTTCTCTTTTTCAGTTTACAGATGCTAGCTAATGCCAGTTAATGTTCATTTCTCAATTAATAAGCTGTGCTCGTGGTTTACAGAAAATAAGGCAACAAATTTCTCCCAGGTTTACAGCACTTTGGTCAATCGCTTCCAATTATTAAAGATCATAATGTATCATGGATAGATTAACTCCTTGTGGGTATAGCAAGCTGACATCTACTTTAAAGGATTATAGGATAATTTTATAACTTACAAATATTGCAATTTCCTTTGTCATTTTATGCTGTAAGGTCACTACCAAAGAAAAAGGTTCCCTTGGCTTATTGCATATGTCTGATAGGGAATTTTCTAGCACATCAAGTCAATGCATAATCGTTGGATGCAAGAAAACAGACTGGTGCTGTATTCGAGAGTCACTGAACAGTCTGTCCGAAGGAAATTCAGCTACATATAGTTAAATATATTTACCAGTAGCTAAATGATTCACTTGTGCTTTGGGGAACTTCAGTGTTAAGACACTCGCTGAAGTAGATACTAGATTTTGTGGGGGGTTGTTCAATAGTTCTATTCAGGCTGGGACATAGCACTAATTGATGTATTAAAAATGTTTTTCCCTTCCCTAACATCTATGTCTATGAATTATATGGGCAGCTTGGATTACTTACAGCTGATAATATCGCCTCGTATGAAGTATGCCACACACTTCACACGATGAGACGATTTTTAGTCTCTTACAGCTTTGCCAAACTTTAAACGTTCTGGCTGAAATTGTCCATGCTGGGCGTCTGTCTCAGGCTAAATTGTGATTTATGCATTTATTTGTTTTTAAAATTTCAGTTGAAACTCTTCTGCTGGGAAAAATATATTGTTTCACTAATCTTAAACTCTGAGGAGCCTTTCTTTGAAAAGCTGTACCAGTTCCACGCTTTGAAGTAAGGACTTGAACTTTGGGATAGGAGTGGCTTTTGTGTGAGAGATGTTGCCATGAAAATCCAGCCAAATATGAACAAATCATAAGCATTCTGACTAAAAATGGGCAGAAGAGTCTGTGCCCCTACAAAGACACTTGCCCAGAGACTGGAATGAAATCCAGGAGTCACAACTCCCAGCATTTTTTCTGCAAATAATGCTGAAACACAGGACTTCCCCACCTATCCCCACGCCAGTCCTGATCAAGAATTGCTCCATCGATGGCTCCA